TTTGCACAAAAATAATAATTGTAAAATGGTTAATGAAATTAGACCACCTTTCTAAATAACTTTATCTTAAACTATAGAGCAGAATTACATTATAATAATAGTAATACTAAAACAACAATTCTCTCAGTTTTAAACTCTTGAATTAAAAGCGCAATAATAGCAGTACAGGAAAAAAACTTTAAATTAGGGATACAAAAATATTTATCGAAAAACAATACTTTTATGCTGACGACAGCAATACAATATAGAAATGAGTGAGGAACAAGTTTAACAGGTTTACTTCAAGTTTAACAAGTAATAATTATCGAAATAAATATCGAATGTGGTTTATTTTTATTCTATCAAACCACTCTTTTGTATATTTCTCTTCACACTTTCGTAATTTTAAAGTTCTTATATCTTTTCAACACTCAAAACTGTGACGGAATTCTTTGATAGAGAGAGTTAAAGGAAGAAAATCTGCTTCAAATTAGTATTTGATTACAAACAAAGAAATAAACGTTTTTATTTTATCAGCTTTAAAGAGTATTTTAATCAGTTTTCAGGGTCGTTCGTTGTAAATGTGGGGGCAAGAGAGCCACTTGCCCAAAACCTTGCTTACATAGGACTCTAAGGAGGCCTTTTTTGCAGATATATTCTAAAAAGATATTTTTTTAATTCATTACAACAACAAAAAATTTCGATTGTTTTTTTTTAAAAAATAATTCTTGGCATTGAAAAAACTTCATTTATTCTTTCAATCCTATTTGATTATAACTGTGACATACGAAGGTATCCACATGTTTAGAGTCACAGTCAAGAAAACAATTCAGAGAAAATAGAACATAGTTTTTTAAGGNTCACTTTGTGACGTCATAAGGAAAGTATTTGGAAGTGGATGCACAAGTGTTCTTTTTAGTACATGTATTTTTAACTGAATAATTTCAACTCCTTCAGGCCAAGAAACAGCAATTATTGCGAAGCAATCATTGGAATCGGTGAGGATCGGGGTGCTTAGCTCCCTACTTAATATCATGAACGCTAAAATAGAAATATATACATATATATATTTCTATTTTAGTTATAATTTTGAGTTATTTTTATTGCTTAAGTTGATTATTCTAATGCACCGCAGTTTACATGTCATAAAATTTGCTTTAAAAAACATCCATGCTTTATGCGTAAAGATTTGTAACTTAATAAGGAAAAAGATAACAAACTTGTAAAAAATAATGCCTGCAATAATCTTCCTTATCACCACTTTACAGATAACAACGTAAAACATCACCACACTATACTCAGATTTTTATCACCTCTTTATGGACAACAACTATAAAGTTCTTCACTCACTTGAGATCATAAAACTTCTTTTTTTTTTATTAGATTTAATGATGGCTGTAGCTGAGGAATTTTTTTGTAGCTGAGGAGTTAAAATTGATAAACTAGATTATTTTGTTGAAGTTTTCTGGAAAATCTTTAAAAATAACAAAAATAATCACAAAATTAAAATTGCTTTTAAAAAAGTACATATTTAACTGAAATTGAGTTCATATTTTTGAAGTTTTGTAAATAATAATAAAATAGATTACTGTTTGTATTTTGAAGTATTTTTAATAGGAGATTAAGTACCCTGTTCGCTGCCGCTCACCTACCCCGATGATTGCTTCGCAATAATTGTTGGTTTCTTGGCAGAAGACAGTTGTTTGTCTACTAAAGTTAAAATTATTCACTTATAACATCTGTGTATACTAAAAGGAATTCAGTTTGCTTACGCTTGTGCCTCCAACTCCAAATATCATTATCTATTAGAGATATATAATTATTTACATCTATTGGTAAACAGAAGTAATCACTTTTTAAAGTAACATTTGTAAAGTTATAACATTATGTTGTTATTACATTATGTTGTTGAAACAAATTTGATGAATTCACAACCGTAATTTCATATTTTCGCTTACCCAACGGGTGGATATATTAAATACTATATTTGCTCTGCATCTCATTGTGCATAAAGCTGATCGTTACGTTCTAAATCATTGAACAAATCTTTTTAACTGTAATTTATAACAGTATATTAATGTTATTTGCACGAAAATAATAATTGTAAAATTTTTAATGAAATTAGACCACCTTTCTAAATAACTTTTTCTTAAAATATAGAGTAGAATTACATTATAATAATAGTAATACTAAAACAACAATTCTCTCAGTTTTATACTCTTGAATTAAAAGCGCAATAATAGCAGTACAGGAAAAAAACTTTAAATAAGATATACAAAAATATTTATCGAAAAACAATACCTTTATGCTGACGACAGCCATAACAATATGGAAATGAATGAGGAACAAGTTTAACAGGTTTACTTCAAGTTTAACAGGTAATAATTATCAAAAAAAATATCGAATGTGATTTATTTTTATTCTATCAAACCACTCTTTTGTATATTTCTCTTCACACTTTCGTAATTTTAAAGTTCTTATATCTTTTTAACACTCAAAACTGTGACGGAATTCTTTGATAGAGATAGTTAAAGGAAGAAAGGCTGCATCAAATTAGTATTTGATTACAAACAAAGAAATAAACTTTTTATTTTATCATCTTTAAATAGTATTTTAATCAGTTTTCAGGGTCGTTCGTTGTAAATGTGGGGGCAAGAGAGCCATTTGCTCAAAACCTTGCTTACATAGGACTCTAAGGAAGCCTTTTTTGCAGATATATTCTAAAAAGAAATTTTTTTAATTCATTACAACAACAAAAAATTTCAATTGTTTGTTTTAAAAAATAATTCTTAACATTGAATTAACTTCATTTCTCCTTTCAATCCTTTTTGATTATAACTGAGGCGTGACATGCGAAGGTATCCACATGTTTAGAGTCACAGTCAAGAATACCATTCAGAGAAAATAAAACATACGAGGGTTGTTTTTTAAGCGAGGGCAGTTTTGTTGTATACACTGATAGGTGACGCGTGCCATTTCTGTCGTAGTCCGGCATTCCTTTTTTTTTTATAACCGTCGTTGAACAGCCGACCCAATTTCATGGGTTTACGAATATTAATGTTCAACTCCGTAGCTCCGTCCTTGTAATTTTGAATCCAATCCGGAAGACAAGGAAAATCCTGGATCGAGTATCGGGAGAAATTTGCCTTCGTGGAGGACTTTTTTGGTGGAACTAACCCGCATTTGCGTTACGTGGAAAGTACAACCACGAGAACCTCCCACGGTTTGCCTGACGGCAAAGGGACTCTAACCCATGATCCGTCTACCACTGAGGATATTTGACGTCAGGACTGTGGTCGGTGCAAGCCGGGTGCGGAATTCGTATAGACTGGGATTCGTCTGGCATTCCTTGGGAACAACTGAACTCAGTTGCAGCTGTGTGGGTAAACTGTACGGTCAGTTCTGCGTCTTAAAAATGTTCAAATTTAACAAATAGCCCGCCACGCACGAGATGCTGTCAGTGATGCGCTTTTAGTCTGCAAAAAAACCTGTTTGCTGCATACATTCATTGGCCGATATGTGAAGTAGCAAAATTTCCTGCCATGCCGACAGGGAATTTTGTTACTCTATGACAATGACCCTCTCAGCAGCTCAGATTTATTGGACTGCTTTGGTGGGAAGTTTTGGAACATCCCTCAATGCAGCCCAGACCATGCGCAGAGTGATTTCATCTTTTCTGATATTTCAAACATCATTTTGGCGTCAACCACTACAACAATGACGAATACGTGTAAACGACCGTGATCTCTCGGTTAACGGAGCAAGTTTTTATGAAGAGGGTGGGTATTCTAAATCTAGTTGTTAAGGTATGATTTGTGTTTAAACACACTTGGCAACTATTCTGCAGAAGAAAAAAAGAGACGTATGCGGAATCTAAATAAAAATTTGCTTCTTGAAAATTTTTTTTCGTTTAGTTTTTATTTTCAAACGTCCCTTACTTAGAAAACAACCCTCATATTCAAAGATTTCAAATGAGTATTTCAACGGAGCATATGAACTCAAATTCTGCACTCCTAAAGGTTTCAAGCTTGTTATATTCTTAGGAGAATCAAAAGATAGTTTAAAATTTGAAGAGAAAAAAAATTGAAGAAGAAATTAGACTATTATTATGATATTCATTCTTAGGAATAATTTTAACACAGCCTTATTTTCACAATTTAGAAAAAAATCAAATTTTCCTAGTGACCTTCGCCTAAAAAAACTATTTAAAAGACGACGACTCCGGTTATTTCAACCCTTTAACGTTTTTTTTCTTAAATGGGGAAAAAAATAATGTCCTTTATCTTTCCTGAGTTCTCCTTCCTCCTCTATTTCTAATTTTCTTATGAATAAATGAATGCCTACTTTATGTTAGGGTGATATTTTTTTTTAATAAATAAAAAGTGTATTACGTATCCACAATTTAAAAAAATATTTATGCTGCTGTGAATGACCGAAATAGTTGAATGCTGACAATCACTTCGGTAAATATCCGAAATGTATACTAGGTCTAGTGAAGTGTCATTGTCCAGTATACATTTACCCGGTATGCCTTCAAGATCAAGTTCCCCTGATGCATTTAACCGGTACTCCGAACACTGATGTTTCTCCTAATCTATCCTCAGCATATATTAAAATATCGAATAAATATCAACGAATAAATTAATATCAAATTGGATTTAACAAATATTTCGGACATTCAGCGAAGCGACTATGTGAATGTTGACATTCACCGCTGAAATTCGACATTCTCTTGATTTCGGTTTTTCGGTAACATATATATTCTTTTCGTTAGCCTTTAACGAAACTTAAAACGGTTTTTTAACAGTAGAAACATTGGATTTTACTTTAATTTAAAATACAGATAGGAAATAAAATGAACAAATATTTTAAGTCTTCTTTCTATTCCGGGTCATTCTGAGTGAAAAATGATATCTAACGTTTCAAACTAATCTGATGAGGAAAACTTTTTAATAACATTTTCAGTAAATATTGAACAACTACAATTTGATTCATGAAATGTTTAATATTTCTTCCAACAGGTGGTTGGCAACAACACAATTCCAACCCACTGATGCTCGCCGGGCATTTCCCTGCTTTGATGAACCCGGGTTAAAGGCCACCTTCAACATCACCCTCATCAGACCCTCCCACCTTACCAGTATCTCAAATATGCCACGGTACAAAACTGAAGAAAGGTGACATAATATTTTTTATTTTATTATATAACTGGACGACTCATTTTTAGGTTTTCAATTATCAATGTTCAAATCCATCGATCTTATTGAACCCGACCCAGAAGACAAAAGAAGCTATGTATTAAGCATTGAAGCAATGCTGGCCTACCTGGAAGACTTTTCAATGTAACTAGCCCGTCATTACGTTAAATAGAGAGAAAATCCTCGAAAACTTCTGAAGGTAAGTCCTGTGGCAAAAGAGGATTTTAGCTCACGATCCGATATTTTACATCAGCACTCTGGTCGGTGCGAGCCAAGAGCAGAATTCATGTCGACCAGTCATTGCTGGGTTTCGAACCTGAGTCACTTCATTGGGAGGCAAGTATTTTATTCCCTGAGCGGTATTAGTATCAATATTCAGACATTCAAACATTTGGGCCTCCCATATGACTCCCTCGGTGTGCTGATAAATATTTGACCACTTCCCCACATAAATATTTTTTTTTCTTTTTCGCAGCGCACCTGGAGTAGCTTATTTTATTACTAACTAAAATACATATGTGTGTCATCTATTCGAGTGATTTCACGTCGTTTTACACTCAACGGTCTGCAATACACTTCATTTTCGATCTCTATGTCCTATCCTATGTAACCGTTAAAATATTCATTTCTTAAAATAGAGTAAAATAAAGAGACTGTTTCTGAAAATTAAGTAAACGTTCAAATAATCATTTCTAAAGTAGAATAAAATAAAGAAATTGTTTAGAATATTATAAAATACTCATAACGATTCCATGCTTATTAAAAAAATAATCTAATGAAGATGGAGTGCATTTTCGACGAAAAAAGTGATGATCAAGTGGCTATTAACAGACAACTTTTTTAATAGACATTCAGTCGTCCTTTCCCCTACAACACAAAATGTAAATAATTATTAAAATGATGTTTTCGAAAAGATTTTAAGCTATTCGAATTTCACGATCGAAACCAATAGCAGAAAAAACAGGTTCGAAACGCTTTTCCACATATTTTTAAATAGATTTTTAAAAAAAATCAAATAATAACAAAAGAAGTAGAGACAATTTTCTTTCTTTCTTTTCTCCACTTTCACAAGTCACGGCTCATTTGACTGATTTTTTTTTTTATATTTAAAGAACATACATTCGATTCTTTTTTTCTTTTTTTTCCTTTTTAAGGTCAGATAAAAGAAATTCGCTCTTTCTAGGTGTAAGTTTAATTGAGGATTAACCTGAGCAAAATGGAATAAAAAAGGAGAACTATTCCAAACGATTCGGAATGTTTTCGTTCGATTTGAATTGAATTTTTGGTTCAATGCTCTTGGCTGGTATTTATTCTTATTTATTCACTCCATAAAATTGTTTGGCATTCGATTTGGGCAGCGGAGAGAAAGTTCTTTTTTCTTTCATTTCGTTCTCTGAAGTTTAATTAAACTGCAGATAAAACTCAATTTCGATCTTTTGAAAAATTCCTCAAATAGTATCCTCTATGTCTTTCTCATTTCTGAAAATAGTGTCGTAACTATAACAACAATAAAATTTCTGCCAAGCTAACTGAAAGTTACAGTAAGAGAAATTAGAAATTTGAATTATTATTATTACTTAACAAAATCTAAATCTGTGGCTTCAGGTTCTAATCGCGCAACTTCAAAATAAACGGATTTTTAATGTTTCAGAAATGTTTTTTGTTCTGCTCTCAATAACTTGTAAGGAAGTTGACCGAAACGTCACTCACCAATCGAATATAATTTTTTTTTTCGTAAGTAGTTTTTAACGTTAGGAAATAAAATCACTGAAAAAATATAAGTACCGAACGAAAACGTACTGAAAAAGGGACCTTAACTATTTAATAAATTAAACGTCCGATTTGATTCGAGCCGTTGAGCCTGAATTCGACTGTTTCATCGTGACAAACGAGATAACTAGTCTTCCAGGCGCCCTATTGCTGTTCCCTAGGGACGATATAACTCGTCCTCTACACAATGTTTTTCTAGATTATTGAAGCGTGCCCTGAAATGTATCAATATTTTTCAACATTTCCAGTTCCTAATATTTTGTCTGTTTTAGCAATGAGGGGGAGACTTTTGCCCGGATGAAAGTGTTGATGTAGTTTAGTAATTATTCGAAAATAATTTGAATGAAATATTTCTTAAATAAGAGGAATAAAAGGATAATACTTAATATAAACTCACATTTAAGTAATATACAATAGTATATAATACTATGTTAAAAAATCGTAAGGATCGCCGTTGCTTTAAGTCTTCAACTTGAAGTTGCACTTTGCTTTGTTGCGCAAAAATTATAGTAGTAGTAGTTCATTTACGTCGCACTAGAGCTGCGCAATGGGCTATTGGCGACGGTCTGGGAAACATCCCTGAGGATGATCCGAAGACATGCCATCACAATTTTGATCCTCTGCGGAGGGGATGGCACCCCCGCTTCGGTAGCCCAACGACCTGCACGCGAAGTCGAGCACTTTACGGTAGCACAGCTTCACGAGGACCAATACCGCACAACCTCGGTCCCTACGCAGACTGATCCAAGTGGGTCACTCACCCGCACACTGACCGCAGCCAGTGATGCTTGACTTCGGTGATCTGCTGAGAACCGTGTCTTAACGATCAGTCCTCTGCTGGACCGCAAAAATGATAAGATTTAGAAACGTGAAATTACTATGGCAGAAAAAAATTTACATTCCATAATTTGTTCGAGAATTATTAGTTGTCATATTTGTTAGAAAAAATAACTTACAGGCCGCAGATATGCAACTACACAGTTCAAATCATATTTTCTTATGAACTTAGCATAGAATTTTTTTTCGAAATTCCAATTTGTTCGAAATTTATTAAAATGCTAATTTTTTTTCTAATTTTTTCGCACTTTTTTATATTCTGTTTTAAGGTTACATTTTGCTTTGGAGTGCAAAATCTATAAAACTTAGAAATTTGAAATTACGAAAGTGTTTTAGAAAAGTGTACAAAACAATAAGTACGACGGAATAAAAAAAAAATTAAGATTCGATTCTTAGTTTATTAACTGTTAAACTTGTCGTAGAAAAATCAAGTTCGTCGATTTATTGCCTGTTGAAATGCAACTATTGAGTTGAAATTTAATAAGCTGATTAGGACCATTTTGTATTATGACTTTGACATTGGTGTTTTAGAAATTTCCATTAATTCGAAAGTTATTGCAAATTTAAGTGCTTGTTCATGATTTTTTTTCTCATCTTTTTGCGGTAAATATTTATTACTATCTGAATACCCGTTCATCGTACGGGATGAATAAAAAAAGTATTAATCGCAGTACTAAACAATACTACGAAATCATGCACTAAATTAAAAGGCCTATTCTGACACAGTTGAAGTGCTAAGTGGAAGAACAAGGTAAGTGACATTTTAAGAGTATTTATGAGTTAGTGAAAAAAACAAAGTAATTACATTAAAATAGGTATGATTAGATCCCACAAATGAGAGAGGCCGCCGGTGCAAAAGCTTTCAACTTGCTGAAGAGCAGCTACAAGATTTGGCTACTTATCGCTACAAACGACGCTAACCTCAAATAAAATAATTCGGAAAGAAAAGCGTGTTAGCGTACATCGACTTACATTGGTTTTGCGGAAACTCTTTTTTTTAGTACTGGAACAAATTCATTAAAAAGTTTATTAGTGTTATTTAAAATGAAAATATTATTCATTATTAGATAGAAGCAGTTTATACACAGTTTTGGTTCTTTTATAGTTAAAAAATAGAAAAAAAAACGAAGCTAATCGAGAAGAATCAGTAAATTTATAATTGCATTAGATTTAAGCTCATTTGAAATTGATCCTGGTTTTGGACAACATATTCCTTTTAGTCTTGGAGAAATTTTTAAAAGATTTGGAATAGCATAAGGCCTTAATTTTTTGTTACTTTTTACTTAAAAGTTGAAACTCTACAAAATGAACTAGTAAGAAAATTTTAAATACTGTTTTATATTTTCATGCTTAAATTAAATCACATTAAGAGATTTTGAGTTTAAATTTTATTAACATACTCCCATTAACTTTTATACAACTGAAACTAATTATTTCAGCAATTTAACACAATAATTTTAAAGGGAGAAAAAAAGCAACATTTATAGATCCAAAAAAGCATGAAGGATCACATATTAAATAGATTTCTTACTAAAAAATGTAAACAAGCAGTTTGAATTTTAGTCGATATGTTATCATCAGTAATTTAAAAGAAAAATGAAATGAGTAAGGATTAAAGAGCTCAATATCTGACATATTAGTGAATCGAAATGAAATACAAATAGAAACAGGTAAATTTTTATTTTTAGCAAAACAAAAGGAAATACTTAAAAGCGAATGCAAAACTTGGCGATTCTGAAATAAGTTTGGCGAATACTTATTCTGCCAATTTCTTGCCTTCATTTACTTAGTTTTATACTGCGCAAACTCTCAAAATTGGTAAAAAAAATTATTAAATGTTGTTTAAAGGTCATATTTTAAGTAACTATTTACTTAATAAATGCAGTTTTCAATGAAATTCTTATATTTGATACATAGTTAGAGCTATGCAACTCAAGTAACCCTGAAAAATTATTCATTTATTTATTTTTAAAAAAAAACAGACAAAAACAAACATTTAGAAATAAATTTTAACAACTTAATATCGTTTATATTATCGTTTTATATAAGTAAATAAATTCAATAAATTATATATAAATGAGTATTAACTTCATATAAGCGACCTCCACTTCCAGACTGCCAGTTGTATCTTCTGCAATTTATTACCCAATTTCTATTTTTTTTAATGGAAATCTAAACATTAGAAAGATTAACTTCCTTTTAAACTGTTTGTTCAATTCATCGCTGCACAATTATTAATAATTTTAAGTATATGAATGGGCATCAAATTCTCACGCTAATTTTAACACTTGGTGAACTTTTTTGCTCCATAATGACGGTCAGTTCATCTCCCTCTAAAGCGGAGCCTTTAGATATATTTTTGCTTTCACTTTAATGTCAACACAACTTATTTACATCGATTTTTAGTATGCTTGCATCGTTTTTATTTTCCCATTGGGCAGTAGTAAAGAAAATAAGAATTATTAGTCCCGCCGTCTAATAAATCAGTAATAAAATTGTTCGGAGACTACTTGTTTTTCTTACCCTGATTACAGTCTCCCCGAAAATGTCACTTATATGATTTTTACATAAAATATTTTCAATGAAGCTAAAATAATTTCATTTTCATTTGTTACCCTTCCCGGTAGCTTTATAATATTATTTATATCAGGGCTCGAAAAAACTCAGAAATTTGACCCGTCCCGGAGGACGGCTTGTCCAACAATGTACCCGTCCTCCTTTGAAACTAACCTGTAGCTTCTAAATAAATAAAAACATAATTTTCTCTTGTTTATTACAAACATTTATATAAATTGCACAATGAATTAGTAGCTACTAGGATTACANTAAAATGAATCTTTTTCCAGTTAACTTTCTTTCCTTTTTAGTAGATAGATTTATTATTTATTTCAATTTAACAAAATGAAGAATCATTGTCGTCAATACTAGTATAGCAATTTTTTACTGTTCCTATAAACGAATAAGTACTTTTACTCTTTTGATGTCGCGATTTAATACATAACTTATTTCAAAATTAATTTAAAATCAGTGTCATCAATAATAGTATTTTTACGTTCCTTCAAAGCGAATCAATACTTTACCGTTGGTTTTTTCTTTAAATACATAATTATTTTTTTTAACTTTGATTACCGTTGATTTTAAATTATTTACTTTTATAGAAGCACATTTTAAAGGGATTACTATAAACAAAATAAACGCGTAGTATTAGATAACTTTAAAGAATATTAATTTTGTCACGTAGTCCACAAGTGCTACCACATTAATGCTGTATATTGAATTTATCTGACATAAAAATAATCAAATATTAAAAAACTAGCAATAAACTATTTTTTGTGATCAAATTAGGCTACAAGCTAACAAATATGACTTATGTTACCTTGAAAATACCTGAAAAATTGAATCGCGAAAAGTTAAATTTAAAACCAGTCAGAAAATACCATTTCGTATTTTGCTCATCCCGTTCGAACAGTTTGTCGTAGGATATGTGCTTATGGCGACCGCGACCTTCCTCTTACTTTCTCTTTGCCAAATTTCATTGGTTTTAGTCGTAATATATTTCTATGAAATGAATATTTTTCCCTTTTTTAATATATTTTGTTTACTTTTATTTGCTTTTTTATTGATAGGTGCTATGCTGTTAAATGATATTCTATCATAACAAGTTTGTTCAAAGCAAAATAAATAAATAAAACAAAATAATATGTATTCTAAAATCAAAAATGAAACCAAAATGGCAAGGGCATATAAAAACATAAACAAACTTTAGCAGAGCTCTTAAATTTCGGAAGCTTTAGAGACAAGACGAGAAAGAAAGATTATTCTGTATTCAGTTCTGTTGCTTTTATAAATGACATTCGTATGACTTCTCTCCCTCTGTTAAAATACTAATGGATAAGTTTCTTACGAAAACCTTTATTTCGAAATTACATATAAATGCATTCTGAAAAACGTATTAAGAAATTCTTTAATGATTTCTTTTTACGACTAGGACATAACATAGAAAGTCTTAATTTAAGTTTAGAATTATTTTATAGCAGTTAGAATATATAGAAAGACTTTTTGTTATCTATAATTAGTTCTCGTTGGCTTCGCATGAATCTTTTTTCCCTTTAAAAATCGATGTTTTCCTCGAAAACAAAGAGCATTTTGTTAAAAAAAAAATAATTATCAGAATTGTAGGTAAAAGCATTTTTTTAATATGTTTATCTGAAAGAACAGAACGATTACCTGAATTTAAAAAAAGTGTATCAATTGCACTGGAAAAAAATATTTAAAGTTAGAAATACAGCTTGTGCTACGATAAGAAGCAAATAAGTAATTTTTCTTGTTAATATCCTCGCGCGGTATTTTTTATCACGAGTTAAACAGCCAATAATTACCAAATGTGGATTTTCTTTTATTCCATCGTATATTTTGCTACAAACTTAATTCTACATAATTCCAAACTTCTAAATCTTATTTTTTGCTTAGCAAAATAAAACGTAAGGTTAAGCGGTGGTGACGTTTACTATTTTTTATTGAGACAATAATTACTTAAATTTTAAAGCTTTATATTTCAAAGCCTTTTTATTATTACATCAAAAAGAGCATCCTGGAGGAGCGTTCGCCTTCCAATGAGGTGAAACCCAGCAATGGCTGGTCGATACGAATCAGCATCCAGCTTGCACCGACCACAGTGCTGACATGAAATATCCTCAGTGGTAGACGGATCATGGGTTAGAGTCCCTTTGTCGTGAGGCTAACCGTGGAAGGTTCTCTTGGTTTTCCTCTGCATGTAACGCAAATGCGGGTTAATTGCATCAAAATGTTCTCCACGAAGGCAACATTCCCCCCAATACTTGATTTAAGAGTACCCCTTGACTTCTGGATTGGATTCAGAATTTCAAGGCTACGGAGTTAAACGTTTAGTAATCGTAAACCGAAAGAAATTGAATCGGCTGTTCAACGACGGCTGTAAAATGAAATAAAATCCATCAATGAGCATTTGATTGCAATGAGCATAGATGCTTCCTAATGACAGTCCATTTCCGTGCTGTACGCCTTTCCAAAAAGAATACTGTGGTTGTGTCAAAGTATATTAGTTTATATTTTGCTCATAATTGAATTGGATAATTTCCTTTTTTTCCAGAGATGATGGCTGGGTGGCTGATCATTATGAAACAACTGTCCGAATGTCCACCTATCTCTTGGCTTTCATAGTCAGCGACTTCGTTAAAAAAGAAGCTCCCAACGTAAGACGGTTTTCTTTTAATATAAATGCTATCATTTTGTAAATTTGGTTACAATCCCTCCATCACTATTCACCTTGAAGTTACAGAGTTAAAACTTGCAATGAATGGAAACATTTAAAAAGTTAAATTTCCATATTTTATATTTATCGGGAAATTTAGCCTAATTGACAGTCAGACGTTTTTACCAAGATTGAAATGACCCAATGGAGACTCTGTGTTTATAAGATAAAAAGAAAGAGCAGCTGCTTTTCGATATTTTGCTAATATTAGGATAACTAGATGCCAAATAATATGATCTCAAGATATATCGATATGTGTTTAGTGCTACACAGCAGATTCAAACTCCATTCAACAAAAGAGGGGAATTAGCATATGTGCAAAGCGATGATTTTGTTTGGGCCAACGATTCCGAAAGAGATTTCTTCAGTTTGCACTTATTAATGCAGAGCAATGCTGTCGAATGCAGCGAAAATAAGGCTTGGACCCATGAAGCAGTGCAGCGTGCAAGTGAATGACATCGTAGATCCGCGAAGCGGTGAGTAAGAGCAAGCAGACTAGCTTTTCGCTTCAATCGGCTACTTTGTTTATAGTAAAATTTTGCACTTCCGGGATATATGCATCCTTTTGACTAGTCGAGAGTTGTGAATGACAGGTTTAATTTTAATAATATACAGCTCCCCGAGAAATAAAAAAAAAACAATTCCTTACACACACAAATAAAAGTAACTTTCTATGTAATGACGTAATAAACCGTTTGACGTAGCAAACCAAGTACTTTCGTATCTTTGTGGAGTTAGAAAGAAATAAAAATTTCTTCTTTTTTTAAAAAATTCAAATGTTGTTGGCGTAGTTTTAGTTTATATTTTTAATACTGATTAGCAAATTGATGCAACAGTATGCAAGATTTTCTTCACAGAATTCCTGATTTTAGTTTAGAGCTTTTCGAAGAGATGGTGCTGTAAATAGTAAACCTGCAAATCAAAAGGAAACCGAAAATCTTTTCCAATTTTCCTTTCAATGAATGAATATCACATTGGGTTCAAAATGTCCATCATCAGCCATGATCAACAGAAGTCACCATCCATGGTAAAAGGGACTTACAGTGCCATCTGTCTGAAAATTTCATTCATAGAAATTCTGAGTCAATCATCAAGTGTCTTTCAAAGAGATTTTGTTCTGACAGATACTCTCAGAGGATCCCTTGCAGAAAATCACAAAATCTTGATGCTTATTCGGGAATCTCGTTGAACTATTTGACTTTGTCTGCATCAATGTTAGTGAAGAAAGCATAAACTCGCACGTTAAAGAGATTTGTGTTTAAATATAGAAATACATGAATACATTTGTGTGGGTTGGGTTTGCATACATTAATTTGAGTTTCTTTGTTTCAACTTTCCCATATTCAAGAATTTAATCTTTGGAAGGCTAACCTATGGTATCAAAACTATGCAGAGATTTATCAATCATCTTTTTTACATAGATTGTAGTCTTTTTGTGATGCACATCTTTGCGTTAATCTCTCTCTTAAAATCTGAAACTTTTACACTCATTTTTAATATTAATCAACAGAAAACTCAGGAGAAATAGGGTTGTTTGATTTGAAACAACATTTGGAAGACAAAACTAACTCGGTCGCTGATGGCGAGAGTAGAATGAGATGTGGAATGAAATCCCCTTCCTTCCTTCACGATGAGTTAATGTACACTGAAGAACCAAAAAACCTGGTACAGGCATGAGTATACAAATAAAGGGCTATGGAGCCAATCAAAGTATAGCGCTGCGATCCGCTAAGCGTATATAAGACAACGAGTGTCCAGCACAGTTCTTAGATCGGTTACTGCTGCTACAATGCTAGGTTTAAGTGAGTTTGAACGTGGTGTTATAGTCGGCGCACGGGAGATGGGACATAGCATCTCCGAGATAGCAATGAAATTTGGATTTTCAACGTACGACTATTTCACGAGTATACCGTGAGTATCGGAAATCCGGTAAAACATCAAATCTACGACATCGCTGCGGTCGGAAAAAGATCATGCAAGAACGATATCCGAAGATATCCCCACCCCCTCTTACTCCCACTGGTTTATGGACAGCCCTGCAGGATTCATGGTGTCAATTATCTCCAGCACTACTTCACACATTGATCGAATCCATGCCACGTCGTGTTGCGGCACTTCTTGCGAGGGCCCTACACGATATTAGGCAGATATACCAGTTTTTTTGGCTCTTCAGTGTATATCTTTTACATAAATAAAAAGATAAAAGTGAATTTTATTTAAATTGTTGTTGTCACGCATTACAGTAGTGAAAGAATAGAAACAAAATTATTTTCCAAGCATTAAAATCAATTAAACCAACTTTTTTTAAAGATGAAGCTTAAAAGCTTAACGAAAGGGGAATTCATTGCTGTCTCAATTGACAAACAGACGGGTTTTTGATGATTTTAATCTCCCCTTTGCTCTCGCCAACCTCAACAAAGATGAACAGTTTTTTCTTTTCTTTATAATAGTTAATTTGGGAAGACACACAGGCACAGTTTATTTTATTACAAGGATTCTAAAACGATGCATATTAAGAGCGGTCATTACGACACACCCTTATGCATAAGTGCTCGATTTTTCTTTCTTTTTTGATGCTTAACACCTGATTAAATTTTATTTTCAGTTTTCCGTGTGGAGCAGAGAGTCTGTGATCGACACAACAGCCTACGCTCTGGATGTGGGTCCAAAAATTCTCAAATTTTATGACACTTTCTTCAACATATCATATCCTTTGCCAAAAATGGGTAATTCACATTCTATTTTTATACATTTGAAGACAATGCGGCAAAAGATATTAAAATAGAGAATATATTATCAACTCTTGAGTTTTTCTTTTTTTTTAATTTCCAAACAAATTTATTCGAATATTTTTATTTTCTCTTTTGTCAAATCTAAGTCTAAATCTAATAATTAAAGATATCTATTTTTTTTAAAATCTATTTTAACCAGAGTTAACCTATCATCAAAGATCTTTTTGTCAATTGTTGTTAGAATTATCCTGTCGTTAAAGATATTTATTTTTTTATCTATTTTTACCAGAGTTAACCTATCATCAAAGATCTTTAAGTCTATTGTTAGAATTATCCTGTCGTTAAAGATATTTATTTTTTTATCTATTTTTACCAGAGTTAACCTATTATCAAAGATCTTTTGGTCTATTGTTGTTAGAATTATCCTGTCGTTAAAGATATTTATTTTTTTATCTATTTTTACCAGAGTTAACCTATCATCAAAGATCTTATTGTCTATTGTTGTTAGAATTATCCTGTCGCTAAAGATATTTTTTTTAAATCTATTTTTACTAGAGTTAGCCTATCATCAAAGATCTTTTTATCTACTGTTGTCAAAATTAAGCCTGTCGTTAAAGATACTTATTTTTTTTTATCTATTTTTACCAGAGTTAACCTATCATCAAAGATCTTTTTGTCTATTGTTGTTAGAATTATCCTGTCGCTAAAGATATTTTTTTTAAATCTATTTTTACTAGAGTTAGCCTATCATCAAAGATCTTTTTGTCTACTGTTGTCAAAATTAAGCCTGTCGTTAAAGATACTTTTTTTTATTTTATCTATTTTTACCAGAGTTAACCTATCATCAAAGATCTTTAAGTCTATTGTTGTTAGAATTATCTGATCGTTCGCTGATTAGTTACGAAAGAAACTCTGCCATCAAATATTTTTTTTCTGTTTGAGATTAGAATAAATCTGTTATAAAATATCTCTTTTTCTGTTGTTGTAAGAATAATTCTGCCGTAAAAGGTCTTTTTTTTTCTCCATTGTAGCAATAGTAACCCTTGTTACCTAAGATATTTGTTCCTATTATTGCCATAACCATCAGAGAATTTTTCGTTTATTATTGTCAGAATTTTTTTTACGTCTAATATCTAATCATCTATTGTTGTCCAAAAAAGCCTGCCATCATAGATTTTTTTTTCTGTTGTTGTCAGATTAACACTTTGGTGCAGATGGAACACCGGTGTCCTTTTTTTATAAGAATAAAAAAGGACATTTTTTTGACGCACTAACTACAAATAAAAATATATTTTAGTTTTCTTTAATTGTAAGAAACAGTTTAAGTATTATTTTAAAAAAAATTTGTCTGATTCTCGGGATTATATTTGTTCTAGAATATGAAATCCAAAAAGAAGTAGCGTGAATGTTTTTTTACATTCTCAAAAATTTATTCACAGTTTATTTGTCAATCGAAACAATTTCAATGATGAATTACTGTTTTTCTATTAGATGAATTACTGCAAATTTGAAAAATTAATGTGAAAGTGAACAATGTTTGGAAAATTTCACCTTTAACGCAAAAAGGGATACCGGTGTCTGATGCTGTATTCCATAACCAAAAATCACTAAAAAGCTAAATATAATATTTTTCACTCATTTTTACCAAAACTAATACAAAAAAATGAAGAAAAAAATAATATTAATTCTGCGTCAAAGGGTTGATTTTTTCATCAAAGATCTTTTCGCATATAAATTAGAGAAAAAGTCTGTCATCAAATATTTCTCTTAGAGGTTAAAATAATCCGGTTATCAAATGTTTTTTTTTCGTTCCCTCCCTTATCAGAATATATCTGCCATCAAAGATTTTTTTTCTCTGTTGTTGCAATAGTAAATTTTGTCATCTCAGATCTTTGCACCTATTATTTTATTTTATAACCGTCGTTGAACAGCCAACCCAATTTTTTGGTTTACGATTGCTCATGTTCAACTCCTTGGCTTTCTCATTTTGAACCCAATCCAGAAGACAAGAAGACTCTTGGATCAGTACCCCCAGAAGTATGATTTGTTATGGGAACATGGAAGACTTTGTGACTCGACAGATTTGACCTGCATCAGTCACCATTTACTGCACGGGGAGTCTTCGGCCGGCGTGAGTCAGACCCATGACCTCTTTAACATCTGTCCACTGCCCTACCAACCAGGCTATCCCGGCCCCTGTGCCTACTATTGCGAAAATCATCCAGTTATCAAAGACCTTTTCTCCTATTGTTGTCACAATAAACCTATCATCTAATATTTTTCTGCCTATTGTTGCTGTAATTAACCTGTCATCAAACATTTTTTTTTTCTTTTTGAGGTTAATCAAATATCCTGTTATCAAATGCCTCTTTTTTTGTTCTCTCCCTTCTCAAAATGTATCTGCCATCAAAGATCTTTTTTCTCTGTAGTTGCAACAGTAAATTTTGTCATCCGAGATCTTTGCGCCTATTAATGCGAGAATCATCCTATTAAAGACCTTTTTGGCCTATTGTTGTCACAGTAAACCTATCATCTAAGATCTTTTTGCCTGATGTTGCCAGAATTAACCTGTCATCAAAGAATTATTTTCACCTATATTTTTCAGAAAAAGTCTATCGTCATTGATTTTTTTTCTGTTCTAGTCAGATTAATACTGTCGTCAAACGTTTTTATTTTTTCTTATAGTCGCCACAATTACCCTGTAGTTTCTTCACGCAGTGATTAGCCGCAAACTACAGTAACTCTAGTTCGCTATTCTAGTACAGTACACTAGAATATCAGTGTTTCACTTCTCTGGGGCATATAAAGCAAATCGTTGGTTTAATTATTATTCCATACTTTTCAGGTTGATTGGATTTTAAAGTGGTTACTGTACTTACATTATAATAAATAANGGAACGATCATGAACTATCATCACCCCAATGTAGGAATTTGGACCAATATATTAAAAAACCAAATTGTTTTGATGGTGTATTACTGAGAAGCAACAAGAATTCCCATGAAACCATCCTGAAAATGTATAGTTGGGACGGACCATCACGAATCATTATGGATTGTTGGTTCATGAGAATCAAACTTCTCTTGATGGTTAACCATCATAGTTTTAAAGTAGCATTTTCCATCATTGAATGATAGCAGTTTGTTGGCATATCAAGAACCATAATGGAAATTGTTGGATGATGGTGACCATCAAATGATGTTGGACCATCAGGAATCGCACTGAAACCAACAAAATCTTTTGATTACGAATTTTGACTTGGGTGTCTCTCATTCAGATGAAACATTGGGATTGTTTGCTGAAACCAATTCAAAAGTGCTGACGTAAAAATATTTTACGGGTTAGAATCCGTTTGCTATTACGTATAGCGCAAGCGCGTTCCACTAAAAAAGTTCTACACGAAGCCAGTTTTTTCCAATGCTTAATTCCTTATCTTCTGGATTAGGTTGAACATTGATAGTCGTAATGGGAGTCAACTTCGTTTATGAAATAAACTTTTCTCTGAACTGATTGTAAGCGTTATGTGGTTTGCGAACTTGACAATAGTTTTTAAGTTTATCTTGAAGGGGAAAAAATGACTCTTTTCGCATTGTTTTACAGATATGGTAGCAATTCCTGACTTCAGTGCGGGTGCCATGGAGAACTGGGGTCTCATTACTTACAGGGAGACTGCTCTTCTGTTCGATCCCCGCTACTCGTCTGCCTCCAACAAACAAAGGGTGGCAACGGTCATCTCGCATGAACTCGCCCACCAGGTAAGTCACTTTTTAATCATTCTTTCGGTGTCCCCAAATGTAATCCATTTTGCCAAATTTTTAATTTGTATTTTTATTTTTACAGAATTAAGTCAAACCTAAATGAATTGCGTTATCTTCTAAATATGACTACATTCAAATAAAAAAGTCAATGAAATAGCATTCAAACACTTTACACACAAAATATTAGCATGTATTCAAATGTAAATTATAGATTAAATGCATTTGCTGAAAGTTTGCTTATAATACACCAATGTGAAGTGAAGCTTAGCCTGCCAAGTACTAATTCATAAAAATAATAGAAGCTTAACTGCCTTACGTATAAAATGTACTTTCTACAAACGAGTCACAAATTAACCTCATGAGTATTCTCAATAAAACTTTCTTTGCAAGTACTATCCCCGAATAAAACCTAAATTGTTAAATAATGTTAAAGAATAAAACGTCATTTGCAGATTTACGGATAAAACCTTATTTGCGGTTGTTTGCAAAAATACGCCTCCTCGATGAGCTGACTTACTTTTTTTTAAATGCACATTCAAAAGAGCTTTATAATTTTATCTATTACAACCTCTAACTTTTGATTTTTGCGTAATTCAAACTATTTTTATCAAGACAGTGGGTTAATGGTGGCTCTCTGGATTAGTGGGCAGAGTGAGTTAATGGTGACTCTCTGGAAAGCATCTTGATCCGAAGATAAAAGCCATCACGATTCTGATTCTCTGCAACGGGGATGGCTCATATGCTTTGGTAGCCCGAACTCTTTATAATAGAACAGTTTAATGAAGACCCTCAGTCCCTACGCAGGCTGATCAACGTGTTCACCCACCCACCCACCACCTTACTGACTGGCCAGTGACTTCAGTGTTCTACTGTGATCAGTGTTCTACTGGCACTCTGTGCGTAGATAGCGTAAATAAAAAGTAAAAATGTGTTTTTTACTAAAATGAGTTGGCGTTTTCCCTTTCGGGTGTAGATGCGTGGACTGTGTTGGCGTACAAACACAGACTGAGTTTAGAAAAAGTTGTGCTTGCCAAATTGGCGTAATTACAGTGCGCTAAAGGAGATGCTCCAACGCCAAGAGCGTAATTTATAAATACAGAACACACTCCATCATCAAAAAAAATGCCTNATTAAATGCATTTGCTGAAAGTTTGCTTATAATACACCAATGTGAAGTGAAGCTTAGCCTGCCAAGTACTAATTCATAAAAATAATAGAAGCTTAACTGCCTTACGTATAAAATGTACTTTCTACAAACGAGTCACAAATTAACCTCATGAGTATTCTCAATAAAACTTTCTTTGCAAGTACTATCCCCGGATAGAACCTAAATTGTTAAATAATGTTAAAGAATAAAACGTCATTTGCAGATCTACGGATAAAATCTTATTTGCGGTTGTTTGCTAAAATACGCCCCTCGATGAGTTGACTTGCTTTTTTTAAATGCACATTCAAAAGAGCTTTATAATTTTATAATATTATGAATATTTTATAACATTTTGAAAACTGATTTATTTCGAGCTGGTTTCTTAAAATTTTTCTTCAGTTTAGAAATGATGTTTATCCTATTTTGAGAAATTCTTCATCCAAAATTTTGTCGGCTAGACTAGGTCCATGTATCCAAACAGGAATTAAAAGACCAGTACCGAGAAGAGACCCAATCCAACACCTCCTAGAAGTAGAAAGGCCTCAGCACGGATCAATTTAGTAGTCCGAGGTGACGAAGTTAACTGCGCAGTAGACGAAAAATAAGAAAGATGTCATTACGTTAGGGGCACTAAGGGATATTTATGGTAACCCGTGCTGAGGCCTGTTCTTTCTGTTGCACAGGCACTCAGTGCGTAGATAGCGTAAATGAAAAGTAAAAATGTGTTTTTTACTAAAATGAGTTGGCGTTTTCCCTTCCGGATGTAGATGCGTGGACTGTGTTGGCGTACAAACATAGACTGAGTTTAGAAAAAGTTGTGCTTGCCAAGTTGGCGTAATTACAGTGCACTAAGGGAGATGCTCCAACGCCAAGAGCGTAATTTACAAATACGGAACACACTCACTCCATCGTCAAAAGAAATGCCTGACTTTACTAATATTAACAGTTTTTATAATACCAGTTCAATTTTTTGAAAAAGTGCTCACTGTGTTTAAAATGCTACCACTGGCTAATTGCAAAATTTCCCTCTCAATAAGGATATAAGCTGAAATAATGTATTTTTTCAGTGGTTCGGCAACTTGGTAACTCCTAAATGGTGGGACGACCTGTGGTTGAATGAAGGGTTCGCGAGCTACGTCGAGTACCTGGGAGTAGAGGCGGTCCACCCTGAATGGAAGATGAGCGATCAATTTGTCCTGGATGACCTGCAGGATGTTCTTGACCTGGACTGCCTAAAGACTTCTCATCCCATCTCTCTGCCTGTCCGACATCCTGATGAAATTAACGAGATTTTCGATAGAATATCATACGGAAAGGTATCTTTCTATTTTTAGCATCGAATTAATATCGAATAACATAATTATATCACAATTTCAGTCGATTTAATGATATATAGTTAATATCGAATGAATGATATATAAGTAATCACAAAAAATAAGAATGAATTAATGATAATTAATAAATAAATAATATAATTATTAATATCGAATGGATGATATTTTTTCCTATCGAAGTAGGAAAATTTAAACAAATTTTAGATAAAAAGTTTAAATTAATAAGTCGAAATCGAAAAGGGCTAAAGACAGCTAAAGCCATATTTGTCTTATGTAAACGATTTAAATTAAAAAGTAAGCAAAACGAAATTTTAAAAATATGTATGTTAGCAAAAACAGCACTTCATCAGGGGGACACACTGTGTGCATTGGAGCCATTTTTCTGTAGTCAGTAGTGAAACCCAAAAACTCACTTATAATGGAAAAACTAAATAAGAAAATTATATTCCTCAAAAATTGCATTTTCTAAAAAGAACTAAACTTAGAATAGAACTGTAATTTATCTAAATAAGATATTGCAATACTTCAATAATTCCTCAGAAATCGAGATATTGCAATACCTCAAAAATTCAAATTTCTTACTTGTTCTTAATTTCTCACTTCTTAATTTAAATTGATATTTTTTCCTGTCATTCGTTCATAATTACATTTGTCGACAGTAATTTTGTGAAAAGGGTCTCATAAACTTATCTAAACTGAAACCAATTATAATCACAAAGAATTTTTCACACAATTTTTTTTAAACATTTTTAAAAATATAAACAAAAATTTTATGGAAGTTTTTTAACGTTAATGCTCTAAATTTTACTTCATTTTTTACATATAGTTATTTAATTTTAAAGACGAAACACACACGACAGATAAGAAGAATCCAGTTACAGTGGTGTGCGATGAGGAAAAAGAAAGAACACTACCGCAACAATGAAACATTTATACCTAACTGGGAGGCTTCACCCCCTGCTCGCTATCGCTCTCCAGACCCCACAACTGCTTTCCAAAGTTCCCTTCAAGAGTTGGGCAAAAATATAATAGATTACAGTTATCAATTACTTGTAACCGTAGTTTAAACTTCTCATAATGTTGATTAACACTATAATTCTGACGACAAGTAACAATAATATACGATTATATGCAATCATGATTATATGTAATCGTTACAGGCTATCGAGATTACATGGTAATAATCATGATTATTGTATATTCTGATCACTTGTAATCACGATTTATACAGTGACTGGTATATTTTGATTGCGCCGACTGGCCTATGTAGGGGTCAAGGAACTGGCCTTGCATCAGAAAGGTTTATGGTTTGAATCCAGGGCAAGGCATGCATGTTTTTTCATTCTCTGAACTGTCTGATCCTGCTGAGTGAGAGCAACGTTGGTGAATGTTGAGTCACATAGTCGCTTTGGTTAATGTCCGAAATATATACTAGGTCTAGTTAAGTGCCACTGCCCGGTAGCATATCAACTACCTTTACATCTACAGTATCCCCAAGAGATTTTGAACTCTCTGATTGGATTTCTCGGCATTGCCTTCTGTTCTTTTTGTAGCTTCTCGCTAGTATCATTTCTCCCTAATTTGTTCACAAAATGTAAAAAATAAGTCACGGTATATTTCTCACACTAATTTTAAGCCAAATGTTTTGTACAAAATACTTTCATAAACGTGACAAACAAATAATTTCCTGCAATTAATATTTACAATCCAATTGAAATGTACTAGAATCAAAAGATAGAATTTTTTATAAATTTATTCTTCCATTACTCATGGTACAATGGACAATTCATAATCATTCACTTTGATGGGAATTATGCATCAGAAATTAATAAAATAAACATTTTAAAGACAATTGCTAGATTTCTTAGATGTCAAATAATAATTTTTCGGTATTACTAAACATTTAACAAACGAAACAAAAAACGTTCAAAAAAAGTTATAAGTAGGTAGGTATAATGCAGATATTTTTGTTTTATTTAATGAAAATAGATGACGCCACTAATAAAATGTTAAATTTAAAACTTAATTTTAATTTAATTTTAGTAATCCTCAAGAAATAAATAAAATATTAATTTCATTTGATAAACATTAATTTCATTCAAGAAATATCAAGTTAAAACTATTGAGTATTCATTTCATAGTGGATAAGAGAATTGAGCAAGGCAATTAAATTTCAATTTCAATGTTATTCCAGAAATTAGAGTTATATTAATTTCATAAGAATTCATACGTATGATAATCAATTTAACGAAAAAGAATTTCCCATAAAACTTAAATACAAATTTTTTCTTAAAATATCTAAACTAGGTACTTATCAACAAACAAAACTTTCTTCTTTAGGTTTCGAAGTTCTAGAAATCCATTTCGTATTTGTAAGTTCCCCAAATTCCTTTACACATTTGTTCCAATCTTCTGAATTTAGAATATTGCTACTAAGGGTAATAATATTTGATGAAACAGTTCCTATTTCATTTTTAAATGAAGAAGGCATTTTTTCAGGCGAAAAAACTGACATTTCAAGTTTGAAAAACAAAAGCTATCCTACGGAAATCGCTCAATTCTGAAAATAAAAAGCATTGCAGAATGAAATAGCGTCACAGAAGGCGTTGACGAGAAATCCAATCAGCGGCGTCAAAATATCTTAGGAATACTCTAGATGTAAAGAGAGCTGCCCGGTATACCCTACACTAATGTTTTTTTAAGGCCCGATACTCCGAACACTGCTGTTTCGTCTAATCTATCCTCAGCAAATATTAAAATATCGAATAAATTAATATCAAATCGGATATAACAAATATTCAACAAAGCGAGTGTTGACATGTCTTGATTTCTGTTATTCACAGTAACTTCTTTTTTCTTTAAGTTATATAAAAGTATATTATATGTAATTAGAATAGTTTTACACGATTTTTCCACTCTCTCCATTACGATGGTTTCATTAAATATTCTTTTCCCGTACGTTTTAGTAAGAATTTGGAATAAACTTGTGCCGGTAACGGAGAGTGGGAAAACGTCTATTCTATTTACAGTGAGTTTACAGAATATAGATTCATAAGTGTTATTATTGTATTGTATTAAGTGTCATTTATTGTAGGGAGCATCTATTATTAGAATGATGAAGTACTTCCTTGGAGATGACAACTTTAAAAGGGGATTGGCGGTAAGTCCCCATTCCTACAATATTTCAATTGGTCTTTCAAATGAGCCAATAAACTGTTTAACATACGCTTTGTACGGTATACAGTTAGCAAATTCTTAAGTAAATTTACCTTCGGTTAAAAAAATTTACCGTCAGTTAAAATCGGTTAGTAAATTCTTCAGTTAGTAAATTCTTCTTCTGCTAGCAAATTCTTAATGGGTAAGTAAATTCTTTTTCTGTTAGCAAATTTTTAATCAGTTAGTAATTTCTTCTGTTAGCAAATTCTTAATCGGATAGTAACTTCTTCAGTTAGTAAATTCTTCTTTTGTTACTGCAAATCCTTAATCAGTTTGTGAATTCTCCTTCAGTTNAATGAGCCAATAAACTGTTTAACATACGCTTTGTACGGTATACAGTTAGCAAATTCTTAAGTAAATTTACCTTCGGTTAAAAAAATTTACCTTCAGTTAAAATCGGTTAGTAAATTCTTCTTCTGTTAGCAAATTCTTAATGGGTTAGTAAATTCTTTTTCTGTTAGCAAATTTTTAATCAGTTAGTAATTTCTTCTGTTAGCAAATTCTTAATCGGATAGTAACTTCTTCAGTTAGTAAATTCTTCTTCTGTTACTGCAAATTCTTAATCAGTTAGTGAATTCTCCTTCAGTTAGTAGATTTTTCTAAGCTATCTTAAATTGTGTATTTTTTTAAGTGTTAAAATTGTACCCAATGTTGTAGAATATGTTGAATGCTGACTATCTGGAAGTTACAAATTTGAACTATTTTTAAAATGAAGAAAAAATGTAAATGAATAATTTTTAAATACAGATTTCAAAGGACGTTAAATACAAAGCAATTATTTTTTGTAATTAGATTGACTAATCGATAAAGTCAAAAATGTATTTTGACATAAATTGAGCTTATTGACTGTATTCAAAAATATTTCTTCTAAATGTGTAAAAAATGTTCATAAAACAAAGTAATGAAATAGAAAATATAAATTGATCTTTTAAATAGTTTATATAGCAGAGCGTTTTGTGTTGACAACTATTAATGCATATTTTTAGAAAACATGTCACAAAAAAATAGGCATATTGGACGTCACAAACTAATATTTAAACTTAAAAAAGTGCTATCAAAATCCAAAGTATCGTTATTTGGAAGACGGTACTGAAAACATCAAAACCAATTTAATTGCCTTATGAAAATTGAAGATATTTTGAATAATAACAAGTCAACTCCTATGTATTTATACTATACAAGTCAACTCCAGCAATGGAACAGGTTTTATAGTTTTCAGTTTACGGCCTCCGCAGTAGTGATATTTTAGATATTTTTTTAGTAACTTTGTTTTTCCTCTCTAAAAGAATGATTTGCTAATGACGCATATTTTTCCCTTTTTTTTTGACAAGGATTCTAAAAATATGCATTTAAGTGTCGTTTTTAGGAAACACCTCGTATTATTCATTCATATTGCTTATCATTTCAGAATTATTTGAACGCCAAGAAATTTGACAATGCTATTCAAGATGATCTCTGGCAATATCTCACTTTGGTTAGTAATTTATCAATTACCTTATCTTAGAATTATACCTAATTTGTCAATAAGAAATAAAAAAAACTTATACCATGTGCAGGATGTTTTGTAAAGATTGCCTTTTATGAAGGATTCCTCAAATTTTGAAAAAAGTTTTCACATTTCGATAGTTATTCTTAAAAACTTTCACGCTCTCTGACGACTAAAAATGTTTTCAAATCTTAACAAATGTACTTCAATTGTCTCGAATTTTTCCGAAATCTTCTCACATTTTACAACCAGTGAATCAGAAATGCAAATGTTTCTTTTGAACAAGATAATTTCGTCTGACATCAAGTAGGAGCGAGAAATAAAACAGAAAAAAAGGGGATCTGAAAATAATTTCGACAAATAAGTAAATTCCTGTGATAGACAAATGCGGAATATAATATGATGTGTCTAAACTGCTTCGTAATGAAATAAAGTTTGATGAAGATTGTTCTGCATCTGATGCTATGTCATCAATTTAATAAAAAAAGCTTTGTTCCAAACATAAATATAAACATATGGTTCTCGTCCAATCATGGTTTAGAAATATGTATAATAACAGGGCTACATTCCTGTTATCATTGGTTATGTTTAGCTCAAATAATTCAGTCGTGAACCAATTATTCCTTGATTAGTTTTATTTACGGGTAGGCTGGTGGCTATAACATTTCACATCTCCACTCCACAAGGGAGGGGGGTGGACAAAACACCGGATGCTTCCGGCACATCTTATGTGGAATACATCATACAGCAAGAGTCACGCAAAAACAATCGCTCCTGCATTAAGTACTAACAGAAAATTAGGTGAAATTTTTATATTATTTCGATATATTTTCCTTTTTACAATTATATATTTTTTCTTGTTTTCTTTGTATTTTTTGCTTATTTTAAGGATTCTCTGCACTTGCAACTTATGCATAGTAAATAAACCGTTTTATAATATTTTCTTAATTTTCATCATTAATCTCTCTTTTTCTGTTATTCTTTTTTGTCGTTCTATTGTTTTTATATATATATATATATATATATATTTAAAGAAAATATCTTTTAAATTTCCCTGATAAAAA